GTTTAAACCATCTTTTTTGTTATTTTTTATATTCTGCAACATGCATTAGACTGTATGTTTTGGGGAGTAAGGGAGTGTATCTTTTGATCTTTGTATGTTTAGTGCCTAATACAGTTCTTGGCATTTTTGTTAAATAAATGAATGATTTGAATAATCAAATATGAATTTACTTGAAATGTTGGGGGGACTTGAATGATGAGGAAAATGCAGAAGAAAGTCTGCCCTTTCTCTTTGTTCACTTTTATTGACTCTGCTGTAAGACCAACCATAGTCTTTTCAGTATTATTTTGGAACTCTTGCTTTTTCATTTGGAAGTAAAAAGCACAAGCAAGAAAGAGAAAAAAAGTTCATGAATGAGGGCATAATGTGGTGGGAATCTAGGTTTCTAAAGATTAAAGATAAAAGCCCATTGGGTTTGGGTGTCTGGGTGCCTCAGTTGGTTAAGCATCTGACTTGATTTAGGCTCAGGGTTGTGAGATCAAGCTCCACATTGGGCATGGAGCCTACTTAAATAAAAAATGAAAAATGATAGAACCATGGCAAAACAATTAGTTGAGGGAAAAGCTGCTCTTCTCCAAAAAAAAAATCTCTTATCTTTCCCTTATGAAAGACTAGTTAAATGTCAAGCACAGAAAAAATCTAATAAAAGTGTAAGATCAAAGAATATTTAATTTTTTTTAAGATTTTATTTATTTATTTGACAGAGAGAGACACAGCGAGAGAGGGAACACAAGGAGGGGGAGTGGGAGAGGGAGAAGCAGGCTTCCCGCTGAGCAGGGAGCCGGAGCCCGATGCGGGGCTCAATCCCAGGACCCTGAGATCATGTCCTGAGCCGAAGGCAGATGCTTAATGACTGAGCCACCCAGGTACCCCAAGAATACTTAATTTTTAAATCCAGTTGTCATTCATCAAACATTTGTGAGTTACTGTAACTAATGTATATTAATAAAGCACTTTTGCTTACATTATTGCATTTAACACAACTGTGAACCACATACAGAGAGGTAGGAAAATATTGACAACATAAATTTAACATATACAGTATATGAGAGATCCTATAAATCAGTAAGAAATGAAGACTTAGGTTTTTTTCTTCTTTAATTGGCAAAGGATATGAATACAGTTCCCAGAAGAAGAATTCTAAATGGCCAGTTAATGATATTCAAATTCAGTCTCAGGAAAATGTAGACTAAATTTTCATTTAGTCTACATTTGAAATGAAAATTTCACCTATCAGACTGGCAAAAATTTAAATTTTAACAACTGTGCAAAGAAAGAGACATTTTTAACCATTGGTAGTTAAAAGTTCCAGCATTTTTTTTAAAGATTTCATTTATTTATTAGAGAGAGAGAGAAGGAGCAGGGGGATGGGCAAAGTGAGAGGGAGAAGCAGACTCCCCGCAGAGCAGGGAGCCATCATGGAGCTGGATCCCGGGACTCCCGAGTTCCAGCATTTTTAGATGGCAATTTGAAACACCAAAATCCAAGTATCTACTAATTTTTTTGAGTCTTTGACCAATAATTCCACTTTGATGTGCCCATCCAATAAAAATATTTTCACATGCATCCAAAGCTGTAAGAACAAGTATCACTGAAGTATTGTTTATAATAGCAAAAAAGAATGCAAAAATCTAAATGTATATTAATAAGCAAATATTTAATAAATTGTTCTACCCTAAATGTACAACTGTTGAGGTCAAGTAAAGTAAAAATCCTACATGAATAGATGGCTAAGATACAGTGTTAAATGAAAAGGCCATTTTATAAAACATGTTTACAAATATTTGTGGAGTATGTATGCATTTTTATATAAGCTTCTAAAATGCTTAAGGGAGTCTAACAGGATAAATGCCAATTCTTAGTGGTGTTTTGAGAGGGTAGGGCTTTAAGAAAAGATTTAGCTTCTTTAATTCTGTATATTTCTGTTAGCTTAGTTGTCCAGTAAGCATATTTTGCTTTTATGTAATTTTTTTAAAGTTATCCAAAAAGTGCTTGTGATAGATACAGTAAATAAGACAGAAACCAGATCCTTATCTAACTTCTATTCAGTTTTTCTCCTATAGTTTACTGCTTTTCTATGTTAACTTTTTAAAGGTCAGTAATCCTTCATTGTGCATAGCATTTTCTTTCCATTTAGCAACAAATTAGGAATTGTTATTAAAATAAACTCAACGGGGGCACCCTGGGTAGCACAATCGGTTGAGCATCCAACTCTTGGTTTCAGCTCAGGTCATGATCTCCGGGGTCATGGGATCGAGGCCGGTGTATGGCTCCGTGTTCAACTCAGAGTCTGCTTAAGACTCTCTCCCCATCTCCTTCTGCCCGCCACCCCCCCACACACACATACATGCACATGCTCGCTCGCTCTCAAATAAATAAATCTTTAATAAAATAAAATAAATTCAATATATCCTCTTGTAACTGGGAGGCAACATTTTTAATGACAATTTATGATAATTTAAATGTCTTCAAGTAGGGGCCCCTGGGTGGCTCAGTCGTTAAGCGTCTGCCTTCGGCTCAGGTCATGATCC